CCCCCCCCCCCGGGACTCCAGCTGCTTCCTGGAGTGGAGTGGAGTGGAGTGGGGCCGGGGACAGGGCAGGCAGGGAGCCTGCCCTGGCTGCAGTGCGCGGCGCTGCCGCTCCGGATCTATTGTAGGTAAGCGGCCCCGGGCCAGAGCCCGTACCCTGCACCCCTTCTGCACCCCAACCCCCGCCCGGAGCCCCCTGCCACATCCCACACCGCTCCTGCATCCCAACTCCCTGCCCAGAGCCCCCTGCCACACCCTGCACCCCAACCCCCTGCCTGGAGCCCCTTGCCACACACTGCACCCCAACCCCCTGCTGCACCCCTCACCCCTCCTGCACCCCAACTCTCCACCCAGAGCCCCCGCTGTACCTTGCACGTCTCCTGCACCTCAACTCCCTGCCCTGAACCCCTGCCACACCCCACACCCCTCCTGCAGGCAGAGTTGGGGTGAGGACTTCAGGGAAGGAGTTGGAATGGGGGCAGGGAAGGGGTGAGGTGAGGTGGGGCAGGGCAGGGCCTCATGGAAGGGGTGGAGTGGGGGCGGGGGTGTCAGTGATGCTGCCTTCGGGCAAATGCTGCCCTCGAGGTCATCGGAGTTTGAGACCCCTGGTGTAGAGACTGTCCAGTTTGGCCAATGTACATGGCAGAGGGGCATTGCTGGCACATGATGGCATATATCACATTGGTAGATGTGCAGGTGAACAAGCCCCTGATGGTGTGGCTGATGTTGTTAGGTCCTATGATGGTGTTCCTTGAAGAGACATGCGGACAGAGTTGGCAATAGGGTTTGTTGCAGGGATTGGTTCTTGGGTTAGTGTTTTTGTTGTTTGGTGTGTAGTTGCTGGTGAGTATTTGCTTCTGGTTGGGGGGCTGTCTGTAAGCAAGGACTGGCCTGTCTCCCAAGGTCGGTGAGAGTGAGGGATCGTCCTTCAGGATAGGTTGGAGATCCTTGATGATGCGCTGGAGAGGTTTTAGTTGGGGGCTGTAGGTGACGGCTTACATTTGTTAGTCTCGAGTCTAAGGTGCCATAAGGACTCCTTGTTGTTTTTGCTGATACAGACTAACAGCTACCACTCTGAAACCTGTCGTGTCTAAGTGAATAGGTCTTTAAACTGAATCAAACTGTTTCTGAACTGATTGCCCATTAAGAGATTGGTATCTTGAATCGTTGTTAATCTACTAATTTGAATATTATTCTGAATCAGTTTGGACTTATATTGATTATAGCTCAGGGGCTAGATTTAGTTACAGTACGAATTGAGGGAAGTATACCAGTGAGCGGGGTTGTATTGGCCGTTCTTGGAGTCGATGTTTCACAGAAGCAGACAGGAAAGGACCATTGAACCAGAGGACAAGGGGAACGCTCCGAAGCCTCCGGGTGTGATTGGATGATTGATTGTTAAGACAGGTGTTTAAAAGCTTGAGGTCTGAGCCATGTTTGGCTGATACAGTCCCCACACTGCATGAGAAAGTTTTGGACAACTTGCTGTTGGGGTATCGAAAGGGTTATACTCCCAAGAAAGCCCAAACAGCAGCACA